CATTTGAAACTCCAGAGTTGAGAGCTCCCAGTCCCTGCCACCAGGACAATGAAAAATGTTCATATTTGAAGTTAAGATGAATATCCAACATTGGTTTGGGGTGTAAAGAGTCATGATAGCCGCAAAATGATCAGTTTTATTTTAACAATATCTGATATTTCTTTTCTGTCACATGAATCTGATTAAAGCATAATGCTTTCACAGATAAAAATCAGTCTATTACAGCAGCATTATATGAAAAACTTGTCTATCACAATTAACCTGATTATGTAATTAACAGTTGTTTTGATAAACTTGCCTATAGACAGGTCGACTGTGGCCACGGCTCCTTTGTCCCCTTGCATTTGGACTTTATCAAAGACAGAAACAACTTTTGCAGGATTCTGGAGTTTAGTCTGCAGATCAGCAAAGAAATCAAACCTGGAGACGAAGCAAAAGCAACTGATCAATGACAGACAAAAACACCCAAAACAAAACAGTGCATCCATGGAGAGCTTGTACTGGTGACTACAAACTACATCAAATGCCATAACCAAAATATCTATTTTGAGGTTCATTATGCATAAGATACAGCAGTTTAAAAAAAACAAAACAAAAAAAACAAACAAATACAAAACAACATAAAAATTTACTGCATGTAAGTTTCATCCTTTAGAGGTGTCACATGTCCTGTCTTTTGTGGGGGGTGAGAAAGGCCATGGGCATTGATTTTAGGAAGTCTTCTTATAGCTCATCACCTACCATCATTACAGCTGCTGAGATTGAGATTGTGGAGAGTTACAAGTATTTAGGGGTTGTTCTTGACCTCAAACTGTGTTTTGAGCCTCATGCTGATGCCACTACCAAAAGAGTTCAGCAAAGACTGCTCTTCTTAAAGATGATTAGATCTTTTAATGTCTCATCTGAAATGTTCTCCTTGATTTACAGAAGTTTTATTGAATCTGTTATTTCTCTCTGTATTGCTGCTTGGTTTGGTAACATGACTCTGAAGAACAAGAATCGTTTTGGGACTTTTGGTAAAAACTGCCAGCAAAATCTCAGAGCGTTGGCAAGACAGGCTTTTGGCCATGTATAACGAGCATGTGCTGAGGAAGGCTCGCTTTATGGTTGTAACAATTGACTTGTTGCCCTCTGGCCATCGTTTCAGAGTACCTGCAAGGAAGACCAAAACAATCCAGGTTGCTTTTATCCCTACTGCAACCCGTTTACTTAATGGCATGTCTTGTGGCTTTTTATCATTGTTTTGTTTATTCTTATTGCTGCTAAACTGATTTCCCCCTGTGGGACAATATAACCAATGTAACCAAAGCAGCCGACGTAAAGTGGCTGCATTCAACACAAGGAAGAAGAAAGCTACAAGACCAAATGTTCCATCTTGCAGTTCTAAAGAAATTGATCAAAACTTCAATTAGCATGTAGGTTTTTCATTCTACATAACTAACCTCTTATTGTTATTAGAACTAAAGACTAGAAACTTGAGACAGAAAAAAGGCATAAAATAAATTACTCAGTGGAACTTCTATTATAACCGTCTCTGAAGAAGGCCTGGTATTGATCATATGTATATTAATCCTAAAATCAAAGTGCTACTCAATTAAAACAAAAAAAGTTGGATTCAGATTCCATCTGTGAAATCTAATAATCAGTTAAATTCCAGTTAAAACACTGGAATAAAGCGTCTAGTGTCCTCTTGTTACATTATAAACCGTAATCTTCCAGTAACCTTCATGTACTTACCACTGGGCCTGCCAGTTAACAAAGCTGAACGTGGGGTAGAGGAACCAGCCCATCTCAGCCAGCAACCCCTGTTTGTCAATGCTGATGAAGAAATTTGGGGACGGGGTGTTCTGGAACGACACATTGACCAGCTTTCCAAACCTGAACAACAAATCGGAACATCAAAACAAAAACCATTACTGTGACCTTTTAGAAGAACAGTTAGTCCTTGTACGTGAATGTGAAGCATCAACATCAGGAGGCTTTTAATCCCGCAGGTGAGCCGATCTTACCGGAGCGTCTGAGCGACCGCAGGGTCCTGATGCACCATGGCAGCTGGGATGCTGAGCAGCGAGAAACACTCATCCCCAACACAGTTCATATCCTGGAGTGGATTTCCAGGGAGGGTATAGACGAGGACACCGGAGGCATTGGACTTGGCCATGCTCTGAACCTGAAGGAAAACAAATCAGAGAGGATGAAACTGTTACAGACCTCAATATTAATAATTAATGTCTATGCTTATGTAATTAATGCATTCATGGTTTGGTCTATAAAAGAAAGGAAACAGGGAAGAATTTGAGGCTACAATGCTGAAAACTGCTGAACTTGACATTTATGGTAAAGGTTTGTGTCACATAGATTTGAAGAAGAAGAAGAAAAAAAAAAAAAAACATTAAACAAATGGAACATTTTTATTTTTCACCAGAAATGTCTGTGGTCTTAGCTTCCTGATTTCTCTGTGCCTAACTCCTTGGGGTCATATAACAAGGGGAAGAGTGATTTGACTCAGAACCATCAGCAG